TTGTATAGATTAAACTATATCTCTTTGATAAATGAGATCAGGGAAGATTTAAAAAGACTAGAAGGAGGAAATCCATCCTGGATAGGACGGATAAACCTAGTCAAAATGGTAATTATGCCTAAAATACTGTATAGATTTCAAATGGTACCATTAAAATCCCAGAAGCCTTCTTTAAGATATAACGAAAAAAATGTTAACAAGATACATATGGAAGAATAAAAAACCCAGAATAGCATATGAAACATTGAGTAGGACTAAAGAGAAAGGGGGATTGGGTCTACCAGATGTCAAGAGATACTATAAAGCAGTGGTTTTAGCAAGAATATATGACTGGACATTTAACCATAAGGGGAAAAGTTGGGTAACAATTGAAAATGATCTTAGTGGCATTAGATTGAACCAGATGATATGGGTCCCACCACAGTTTAGGGGAATCAAAGATAGCACAAGTATCTACACTTTAAATGTTCTTAGGGTATGGGACAACTTACACAAAAACATGAAATGGGAATTTAATTCTATATTAATGCCTCTCACAAATACTGATTACTTTCCCCCGGGAAAGAACAAGATATCAGGGAGATGGTTTAGAAAGGAGGATACCCAACTGAGAGATGTTTTGGTGGAGGGGGAATTGAGATCACTTAAAGACTTAATAGAGAAGAAGGGAGATATTTTTATTAGAATAGATGAGTGGAAATATTATCAATTGAAATGTTTTATTGGAAATCTACCGAAACCCCTGAGAATAAAACAGGAGTGGAATATGTTTGAAAGGTTGTTAGAGACACGAAGAGATGGGAAGCACGGTATTTCAAAAGTGTATAAAATACTCACAGAATTAGACACAAACACAAAGTTAACTTTTATCACTAAATGGGAAAGAGATATGGGAGTTGGGTTTGATGAAGATAGACAGAGAAAGATGTTTAGATTGATACACGATAATGTTAGTATGAGAGAGGTTGAGGTTAATTATAAGTGTGTGACACGATGGCACATTACACCGAGTGTAGAGCACAAGATGAATGGGGAAAATTCAAATAAGTGCTGGAGAGGATGTGGAGAGATGGGCACGGTGTTTCACATATGGTGGGAATGTCCGAAAATTCAGACTTTTTGGAAGATAATAGTCAAATTGATTAAAGAAATAACTGAAATTGACATAGGATTAGACCCAACGACGTGCCTCCTACACAATGTGGAGACATCTGTAAATAAATATAAAGATTCAGGTATTTGGTACTTCTTGAATGCGGCGAAAGGTTGATACCTAAGTTTTGGTGGAAGGCTGAGGTACCGAAGGAAGAAGACTGGATAAATAGAGTAAACCAGATAGGTAGAATGGAAAGATCATATCATATGCAGGAAGATAGGATGAGAGTTTATTTTAGGAGATGGGAAAAGTGGGAAAGAGCTGGATTGAAAGAGAAATATAGGAAAATATGAATTAGGATGTTAGTAAAAAATTAACAAGCCTCAAGAGAGTAGAATGGGCAGTCGCGGTCATGCGATTGTCACATGTTGGTGGCGGCGATCGTGGATCCGTGACAGTTATAATGTTCAGACTGAAATTATCACGGGCAAATGTCCCTATGCAAGAATTGGTTAAAAAATATAAAGTAAAGTATATATAAAGTAAAACTTTAGTCAAAACAGCTAAACAAAAAGCTGAAATGAATGTAATTCTGCTCAGCCAGTCTTTTGACTTTACATACCTGTGCCACACTTAGTAACCAGCAACACAACGCCACTTGGCATTACTGAAATTTTAAAGCTTTATGTGTTATATGCCTGCTCATTGGATCAGAAAGGCTTTAAAAGACAAATTAAGGGCCAGTTCACAACAAACATGCACTCCAGATGTGTTTCTGCTTACAGTTTACACCAGAAAAACTAACTCCAGATGCATTTCTGCCTGTGCATTTTTGAAGCGTTTTGAAGTGTTTTTCCCCACTTGTTTTATTTTACGAGGTTTCCTGTTTTTTTTTTCTTTCATGTAATGCATTCTGATGCATTTTTGATGCATTCCAGCTCGTTCTTGACATGTTCCAGTACAGTTCTGTGCAGAAAAATTGCTGCATATTCCACTTTTTTTTTTTCACTGGAATGCCCTGGAACTGACTGCACTGGTATGAACTATGCCATTGAAATCTATATAATCTACTGTTCATGCTTTTTTGATGCAGATAAAAAACCCCACACTGGACTGCATCTGGTGTGAACCGTCCCTAAAGGAGCATCATCACACTGCTGAAGTCCACCCTGTATGTCCCTTCTCCCATTAACATTCTTCCCTTCTGATTCTGTGCCTCAAAACATGCAAGACAGCCAGCACTGCTTAACGTAGTAAGTGTAACACTGGATTTCCAAATCACCTTGATTTCTGCAATGCAGGTGATTGTGGGAATACGCTATAAAAACAGATTACTGGCGCTTATTCTGGTTTTAAAGGCATCTATCAGATAAAAAGGCATATCATGGCATGAGAACCTCATCTCTAAAAAGGTATCAAATGTGTTGTCTCTTTTGAATTGACCATACACCCCACCAGGGGCGGACTGACAACTCATGGGGCCCCGGGCAATAGGGGATCATGGGGCCCCTGTGTCCTTGCCCAAACTCAAAAAAGCCTATGAAAAAGGTACCAGGGGCATCTCATGGGGCCCCCTACTGACCCCGGGCCCTCGGGCAGTGCCTGAGTTTCCATATGGTCAGTCCGCCCCTGCACCCCACTATACTACAAACACAAAACATAAGAAGTGAAAGCAAAAGATTTTATTATGGAAACCTCCAGATCTCCACAGTTTGTTCTCCAGAAGCCGCAGCCACAGTGCCTCCAGCCACACTGACCTGTGATCAAAAAACAGAAGAAGATGAGAATCGGATACAGAAGTGAAAACAAAATGTGGAATAGCAGAAAATTAAAGTGATTGTAAGGGCGAAATTTGTTTTAAAAAACATAACGAACATCTCTACACTTACCTGCTCTGTGCAATGGAATTGCACAGAGCAGCCACGAACCTCTTCTCGGGTTCACCGCCAGCGCTCCTGGCCCCTCCTCTCTGTCCAGTGCCCCCACAGGAAGCCGCTTCCCATGGGGGGGACTTGGGCGTGCTCGTTCCCAAGCCCCACTGCTGCGTCCATTGACACAGACAGAACTCGGCCTTACCCCCTGCTTCCTTGTCATTGGCTTTAATTGACACCATTAGAAGCCAATGGCTCCCGTTGCCCCAACAAAGCCAGTGACACACGGAAGTGAGGGGGGAGAAGAGCTGCAAGTGTGCATGGTGCTGAATCGAATAAAGGCTCAGGTAAGTAAAGAGTGGGTGAGGGGGGATGCTGATTGTAACAATTGGGTGCAATAGAGACATGGAAGCTGTACGTGACAGTCATCTTGTTAAAGTCTCAGCATTTTGGTTTCATGAGCAGTGTTTCTATTCTTCCCCCTACCGCTTTGCAAACTATGGAATTTGTAGCTGTAACTTTTAACGAACTTCAGAAGAGCCTCTTATCTTAATTAAAACACAAGTAGATGCCAGCGTCCAGGGCTGTAAACAGCTAATTAGTCTTGGCAGGATGTCTGTTTCCAGGGACCATGAAAAACACTTTCCTCTATCCTATCTTAAAACAGTAATAACTCTCTCACTTCTCTCCCTACAGTTATGGCCTCTACTGATAAATTGATACAAATACGTTATTCACATCAAACCTATTATATTCCTTTATGGTTATTTCATATGTAAAAAAGGGACTCCGCTGTGTGTCATAACTGGAAATCATTTGAAAGCACATTTTTTCACATGGTTTGGGAAGGACGAGTGACTGAGTTTAGAGCAGATAATTCTGGCTTCCCTAACATCTGAAACCTTCTTCTATGTTTGCTGGGCATCGCTGAAGATGAGAAAATGAGTAATGCTACGAAACTATTCCTTCTTCTATGTCCGGAAATTCATTGCTAGGAGGTGGATTTATGAGAAAAATCTGACTCTGGTTACGTGGAAGAGAATGGTTAATGTTGCCCTTCCACTTTATAGATTGACGTATGAGGCCCGTGGATGCCCCCCAAATATTTGAGGGTATGGAAGAAGTGTTCGGATGCTTAAATAATCCTTGTTAATGCCGCTGGGTGGGTTGGAGGGGGGGCGTAGTGGACTCCCTTGCTAGCTAGCTGTAGGTTGCTATATCACACTCCAATGGTTCTGATGGATAGTAATTTGTATATTGGTTTGTTTTTGTTTTTTTAATCGAAAATTTTAACTTTTATGCTCGATTTAGATTTAAAATAATGATACCTGGCCTATTTTTACAGTTAATTATGGTGCTTTATATAATGGCGATTGTTGTGACTGTATATTTTGATGTTGGCCTTTACAGCTATGATATGGGCCATATTCTGTATATAACTGTTGCTTTGTTGTCTGGCAATAAAACCTCTTTAAATTAAAAAAAATAGGTTGTTTCCTGTGAATGGCTAAGAAGCACCCAGCCCAACATGATTTTGTTCCAGCAGTAGATGGAAAGTCCCTGTACCCCTACCAGAACACAGTGCCGTCTACTGTATGTAGCTGATGTTACATACAGTTTATACAGTGCTGACAACAGCCACATTTCTTAGCAATGGAAATCATTTATTTGGGCCTACTTGACCCAAATGAACTATTTAAAAGTAACACAAAAACCTGGTGTTAGGCTTTAAGTATATAATACAGTCCGAATTTTTCAAGGATGAGCAAATTCTTGTCACGTTCATCTAAAAAATGTTTTATAGACTCCTCATATCTCAGCAGCATTTTTTAGCTCAGCCAACATTGAGGACCTCGGCAGGTTCTTAGTTTGGGCTGCTAGATGCAGACATTGACAAACAGATGACAATCCAATGTGTTATGATTTACAAAGTAGTATATCAAATATGGAACGACAATCAAGTGAGAAGTTCACGTAAAACATTATACTCAGGTAAATGTTACAATACATTTAAATAAGTAGCACTCTAAATTTTATTTTTGAAACAACAAACTTACCCCATTGACGACGTTGCTGTGTCTCAGTGTGCAAAGTGTGCGTGGAGGGTCGGTAGGAATGTGGACCTGGAAGTGAAAGCGCAATGTTGATGTCTAAAGATAGTCCGGCTACTTCTTAAACAGAACCAATTTTAAGGAACAACAGTCCTCCTTGTGTTACCTTCAATTAACTTTGTTAGAGTTTAGACTGATGTCTATCACCTGGTGGAGCCCTTTGGATCATAGGTTCATATGGTACATGGTGCATCAATCTCTGCCCAAGGTGTGATTAAGAGGCTTGTTCACACATGGTGCGATGACTCGTGTTCTTTCTGCACTGGAAGAACACCAGTCACCACTAGGGCACATGAACAACAATTGTTTTCTATGTGTCCACGTCTCATTTCAATGAAGCCTGCAGATGCGGAGCAGTAAGCTGCGATAATATGCATGCTGCATTTAATCCCAGCTCAAAAGGAAGGCACTGCCACCATCCTGCTGTGCAGTGACATGACTGAAGTGTCATTTTGGGTACATCAAATAAAGTTGTCCAAGAAAAGAAAAAAAAAGAAGAAAAAAAAAAAAAGAATTGTGTGATGCATTAAAACCCTGCCGCCGCCGCCGCCACCATGGCAACAATCCCCGCCCCATCCCCCACCATACCTCGCTTCAGCCTAAATCTGACAGCTGGCCACATGCTAAAAGGAAGTGTTTAGTATGGGGGCAGTGTGAATGGGTCCTAGGTCTTACTTGTCATTCACTGGCCAGTAGACGTTCTGCCATCTAATGGCCACTGATGTTCATTAGAAAGTTGAATAAGAAATGTATTTCTTAGTGCCAGAAAAAGCAGGCTTAAAGCAACCCTGTTGTGGCCTAAAACAATAAATAAAAACATTTCAAGTCCCTGCAAAAGAAGACTAATATTAGTTATGTGTTCAGCTGCTGCGCCTGCAATCTTCACCTTTTGAACAGCTACACAGTCCACAGAATATTCTGCTCCCATCCAGGGGCGGACTGACAACTCATGGGGCACCCGGGCAATAGGGGATCATGGGGCCCCCAGGCAATAGGGGATCATGGGGCCCCTGTGTCCTTGCCCAAACTCAAAAAAGCCTATGAAAAAGGTACCAGGGGCATCTCATGGGGCCCCCTACTGACCCCGGGCCCTCGGGCACTGCCCGAGGTTCCAAATGGTCAGTCCGCCCCTGCACCCATCACACCTCAAGGTGTGCTGGATGCCAGGTCCTTCATGCTCACTGTGGTTCTATCCACCAGTGCCTACGTCACTATAGGACATGTACTTTGGATGGTTTGTCTCTTGCGAGGCACAAGTGGCGGGACAGATAAATAACAGTCTTCTCTTGAAGGATCCGCTCCAAACTTTTTATGATGTGACAAAATTATTTTAACCATGACTTGGGCAGGAGTAAAGGCTCCATGCAGAACTTGGTCCTAGGATCCAGGTGACTTTTCGGGTATCAAGACATCATATATACAGGCATAAACTGAGGGTCTCTAAAATTCAAAACTTATTTACAATTTAACTTAGAAACCATAACTGCATAAAAAGTATAGCTGGGAGTCACGTGTGTCCCTGTACCTTTAAGGAGGGATGGGCTCCTCCAGGCACACCTGCCCTTAACCTATCCACTGATACATGTGCTCCTACTATGGAGGCTTTGGAAATTTTAGTTAGGTCCAAAGTATATAGAGGACCCTTGTGGGACTGTGGCTTACACATGTATTTTCAAATGTGTGCAAAGAAAACCCTGTTTTTAACATATACTGTTAGACAGGGCCAAATTGGTTGTTTTGCAGGCTGGCTGGTAAGTGTTGCTGGGAAATCCTTTGTTTGTTTGCGATGTGCATTGTCCTTCCATATGCACCTTACTGCTAAGGCTGGTTATAGGTTGGGATGGTTGCCATTTTTTGCGTAGTTGTATAAAAAGTAGTCATTTCAATGTGTAACATTACCACCATTTCACTGTTAATTTACCAATGCATTCTGCAAGCTTGTTGGCTTATGGAACTCTTAGATTGTAAGCCAAGGAGCAGGGCCCTCCTAACCCTCTTGTATTGAACTGTATTGTTGCTGTATTGTCTCCCGTTATATTGTAAAGCGCTGAGCAAACTGTTGGTGCTATATAAATCCTGTATAATAATAATATATAAATCCTGTATAATAATAATAATAATGGAACTGAGCGTATATACTGATGAGTGGATGGTTAAGGGCATATGTGTAGGAGTATTGTATTTGGATCTGTAACCTTCATACAAGGTTTCTTGAAATGACCTGGTTAATGGTTTTGTAATTTATCTTTAGAAAAGAAAAAAAATTCTAGATTCATTAGACAATTCTTCGCCTGGCTCATTTTTCATTTGAAAGATGTCAGGCAGGAGGGGAAAAACAGTGCCACCCACTAAGTTAATTTTGTGCAGTTCATCAGGAACTGGCCAAACTTCGTACAATGTATGGCCAGTTCAAAAAGTTTTGAGTGATTAATTTCCACATACACAAACTGCACTGGTGATCATTCTGAAAAAGAATCCATGATATATTATTTAGTAAGTGCCTACTATTTTGCTCACTCACCTTCATGGTTTTATCAGTGGAAGTTGTATAGAGTGTGCCTGCTGAGTGACAGATGCCAGTGATCTGTGAGGTGTGACCTACATCAAAACACTGATGGGAGGAAGAGAGAGAGAGAAAGACAAGGGCAGGAGATGTGACAGACAAGAAGAAAGAAGGAGACAGATGAGAAAAAGAACCAAAAACCAGAAGGACAGGAGAGGAAGAGTGCAGTAAAGAGAAGAGATTGGAAGGGGAAAGGAAGAATAAAGATGAAAGGATGGAAGGGGAGAGGAAGAATAAAGATGAGAGGATGGAAGGGGAGAGGAAGAGTAAAGAGAAGAAGAGAGAAGGGGAGAGGAAGAGTAAAGAGAAGAGGAGGGAAGGAAAGGGAAGGGGAGAGGAAGGGTAAAGAGAAGAGGAGGGAAGGGGAGAGAGGAAGAGTAAAGAGAAGAGGAGGGAAGGGGAGAGGAAGAGTAAAGAGAAGAGGAGGGAAGGGAAGGGGAGAGGAAGAGTAAAGAGAGGAGGTAGGAAGGGGAGAGGAAGAGTAAAGAGAAGAGGTGGGAAGGGGAGAGGAAGAGAAAAGAGAAGAGGAGGGAAGGGGAAAGGAAGAATAAAGATAAGAGAATCGAACGGGAGAGAGGAAGAGTAAAGAGAAGAGGAGGGAGGAAGAGTAAAGAGAAGAGGAGGGAGTGAGAGAAAGATCAAGAGAAGAAGATGTGACAGACAAGAATAAAGGGGACAGATGTAGACAAGAACACAAAAAAACAGAAGCAGAGGAGAGAAAAAAAGAGTAGGAGAATAGAAGGAGAGGGGAGTGAAACAGTAAAGAGGAAAGGTATGGAAGAAGATTAAAAAGAAGAGGATCAATGAGGAGGAAAAGTAAAAAGAAGAAGACAGAGAAGAGGATAAAAGACAAGAGAGTAAAAAGAAGAGGAGGGAGAGGAACAATAAAAGAGAAGAGGATGTAGGATAGAGGCACATTAAAAAAAGTAGATAAATGAAACACGAAGAGTTAGGAGAAAAGGATAATAAGAATAAGTAAAGAGATGAGGATGGGAAGGGAAGGGAGAGGAAGACCAAAGAGAAGAGGATGGGAGGAGAGAAGAAGAATAAAGTGAAGAGGAATGAAAATTAAAAAGAAGAGGATGAATGAAAGAGGAAGAATAAAAGAGAACAGAGAAGAGGATAAAAGGGACAAGAAGAGTAAAAAGAAGATGGACACAATGGGAAGAGAGGATGAAGAAGAGAGGCATATTAAAAAGAAGTGGATGAATGAAAGAGGAAGAGTTATGGGAAGAGAATATATGGAACAGGAAGAGTAAAGAGATGAGGATAGAAGGGGAGAGGAAGAGCAAAAGAGAAGATGAGGGAAGGGAGAGAAAGGAGTAAAGGGTAAAGGATGATTGAAAGAGCAGTAAAAAAAAGGTGAAGAAAGTTTTTTAAAAAATGAATCGACCGGAAAGAGTAAAACCAGGATATAGGCATAGAAAGAAAAAAGGATAGGAGAGGAGTAAAATGGCAGTAAAGGACAAGACGATAGGAGGAAGATGACCACAAAAGAAACAAATAAAAAAAACCAGATCAAAGAAAGGGGGGAAAAAGGGGATTAGTATGAGAATACAAAGAAAAACAAGGGTCACCTATATAATTATACATATCACCTGAATGAATGATCAGTACCTTTAATACACAAGTGTAAGTCAAGATTGTGTCTTAGCCAGTCTCTCACAGTCTCCAAACTGGGAAGTCCAGAAATCAGGATGTGATCAGGATGACCAGATCTTAGAAACAACGACCTATTTTATCTTACATATTTATAGGGTAGCTAAATATTCTGTAGTAATTCACATGCAGCCATACACATCAGTCCCTATTCTTAAAAAAAAAACCAAAAAAAAAAAAAAACCTTACATTCTAATATCCTACCACATCCATTCAGATACATACAGTGGGGATCGAAAGTTTGGGCACCCCAGCTAAAAATTTGTATTAATGTGCATAAAGAAGCCAAGGAAAGATGGAAAAATCTCCAAAAGGCATCAAATTACAGATTAGACATTCTTATAATATGTCAACAAAAGTTAGATTTTATTTCCATCATTTACACTTTCAAAATAACAGAAAACAAAAAAATGGCATCTGCAAAAGTTTGGGCACCCTGCAGAATTTATAGCATGCACTGCCCCCTTTGAAAAGCTGAGACCTGCCAGTGTCATGGATTGTTCTCAATCATCGTCTGGGAAGACCAGGTGATGTCAATCTCAAAGGTTTTAAATGCCCAGACTCATCTGACCTTGCCCCAACAATCAGCACCATGGGTTCTTCTACGCAGTTGTCTAGAAAACTGAAAATAGTTGACGCTCACAAAGCTGGAGAAGGCTATAAGAAGATAGCAAAGCGTTTTCAGATGTCAATATCCTCTGTTCGGAATGCAATTAAGAAATGGCAGTCACCAGGAACAGTGGAAGTTAAAGCAAGATCTGGAAGACCAAGAAAAATATCAGACAGAACAGCTCGCAGGATTGTGAGAAAAACAAATTCAAAACCCACGTTTGACTGCCCGATCCCTCCAGAAAGATCTGGCAGACACTGGAGTTGTGGTACACTATTCCACTATAAAGAGATACTTGTACAAATATGGTCTTCATGGAAGAGTCATCAGAAGAAAACCTCTTCCACGTCCTCACCACAAAAATCATCGTTTGAACTTTGCAAATCAACATATAGACAAGCCTGATGCATTTTGGAAACAAGTTCTGTGGACCGACGAGGTTTAAATTGAACTTTTTGGCCGGAATGAGCAAAGGTACGTTTGGAGAAGAAGGGGCACAGAATTTAATGAAAAGAACCTCTGTCCAACTGTTAAGCATGGGGTTGGATCAATCATGCTTTGGGGTTGTGTTGCAGCCAGTGGCACAGGGAACGTCTCACGAGTAGAAGGAAAAATGGATTCAATAAAATTTCAGCAAATTTTGGATGGTAACTTGATGCCATCTGTGAAAAAGCTGAAGTTAAAGAGAGGATGGCTTCTACAAATGGATAATAATCCTAAATACACCTCGAAATCCACGGGGGATTAAATCAAGAGGCGTAAACTGAAGGTTTTGCCATAGCCTTCACAATCTCCTGACCTCTACATAATTGAAAATCTATGGATAGACCTTAAAAGAGCAGTGCGTGACAGACAGGCCAGAAGTCTCAAAGAACTGGAAGACTTTTGTAAGGAAGAATGACAAAGATACCTCAAACAAGAATTGAAAGACTCTTGGCTGGCTACAAAAAGCGTTTAAAAGCTGTGATACTTGCCAAAGGGGGCAGTACAAGATATTAACTCTGCAGGGTGCCCAAACTTTTGCAGACGCCATTTTTTTGTTTTTTGTGTTATTTTGAAAGTGTAAATGATGGAAATAAAATCTAACTTTTGTTGACATATTATAAGAATGTCTACTCTGTAATGTGATGCCTTTTGGAGATTTTTCCATCTTTCCTTGGCTTCTTTATGCACATTAATACAAATTTTTAGCTGGGGTGCCCAAACCTTCGATCCCCACTGTACATTACGGATGGAGGCTGAGTACCCCACTAGCATGTTTTTAGAGTTGTGGGAAGGTACTGAAAAACCTGGAGAAAGCCAGTATAGAACACACAAACTCCAGGCAGACTGCATCTCTGGTTTGGATGGGCTTTCAATAGTCAACTCACAGACAGTAGATGAATGGCAGGAGGTGAGATGGCTTGGGTCTTAAAACCTAAGCCTCTTGTAGACTGGACCTGCACCCTTACCAGTTCTGTAATTATTTCTGGTAACTGTATAAGAGTGATTGTGTGTGTCACAGATGCATTTATACCTGATCTCTTTAGTAGCTTCTCCTGTGTCTCTTTGTTTGCCCAGGGTCTTTGGACAGCTAAGGATAGCTAAACCCAAAAATGCTTACCAATCCTTAGATGAGGTTTCTGCATTAGTTTTATGTTTTCAGGCTAAAAACATTTTTAGAGAGAGTACAAAAAATATCTGTTGATCTTACCAGAAATGCAGTATGCTTGTCACTTCCTGTGAGTGGCACTGGAAGCATATAACAAGGTTTTCTCCATTCTGTAAAACTACTAATCCTCATATCCCCCATGTAACGGAGATGAACAAAGGTAGACATGGCTGTATTCCAGCCTTTGTGACAATCATGGCTCCCTGCATAGATACAGTGGAGTAAGTGAACAGCGGGTAAATGAAAATTTTTTGCAGGATTACCTGTTTAGGGA